TTTTTTTCGTGTAACGGGACCTGAAAAACCCCATCCTCGCCTTCGACTCGGAAGGCAATCGTGCACGTGGAGGACGGTGATCTGTTTTCCAAGGCTCGGGCATGTAATGTACTATTCCTGAATTATAACGAATTCTTCCGTTTTCAGAATTTCACCAAAAATTAGGTCCATGGCAAAAAAATCAATATTATTTTATTTTGTCATATAAGTATTGATTTCATTAAACAAACCATCGAATAACCAAAATCGAATGAAAAATTTAAAATTGAATATTTTTAGATTTTCTATATATTTTTTTCAATGCATTCTCGACATTCAAGTTCATTAATCATCTATAATTTAATCTTGTCAGCTCGTAACTTTTATCACCAAAAAATCATTTCCCATTCCACTAATTATAAACAAATGCGTGTATTATAGAAAATATGCACTGATGTATTTAATGTATACACGGTGTTCGTTTCTTATTCGAGGTTAGAAATCCGATTTGTAATTCTAGCGTACTTTCGTAAATAGCACTGTCGCGGCCGAATTGCTCATTCTCATGAAAGTTCTCATGAGAATGCGTCTTTTATCCGCCGCAATGACTCTGAAGATAACATCATGTGGCAATTTATTCGAACGACACTCTATTTCTGTTTCATACGTTCATGATCGAACACGTCAGTTCGACTTCGACTTTCGGTGAATCGATTCGACATTTTTCAATTCGAGTTTTCATTCGGCAGCCATTATGCTTTCCTTTATATATAAGGACTTACAAATAGCTTCGAGACAAACGTGTCCAATGTTTCATTATTCATTGAAACTTCAATTTTGAATGAAAGAATCGAGAAATGAGAAATTTATGTATGTGCAGCCTATATTAGTTTACGAGTGGTATTCCCACCAACAATTTAAATGCTAGGAATGGATGATATATCTTCGATTTTAAGTAAGTCCTATAACACTGAAATACGTGAGATTGCATAAGCTTGTACCACGCGATTCTCACGGTACTGTTGCTATACATTTCACCCAATGTCATAAATTACATCATAATTCATCTTACCCAGCAAAAGTCCGTCCATGTCGAATAAAACATGCGTGACTTTATTGTACGAATTGTCCATCTTTATAACTTAATCCCACAATCGAACTCAGTGCCAATAACTAGTTATCTGCAAATTGATGGGAAAGTTAAATGTCAAAATTTCAAGGCTGTTCAATATTTTTGTTTTCTTTTCTTATACTTACAACAGACTAATCTGATTCACTTGGCCAAATTCGTGACGTATATATCAATTAACTCGAATTAATCTGATTGACAGTTGGAGGTGCTGGGGTAATTCATAAACAGAGGTGTCAAATGTTACTTCTCGATAATGAATTTGGACGGTTACCAGTTGACTCGTTGCTCACCAATGGAACAATGCCTCGTGGAATGGCAACGGGTTGAGAGGATATATTAAGGGTGCGTTTCGGAATCAACTACCGTAGCTGCAGTAAAGCAAAATTAGATAGGGTTGCAGTACTGCTACTGCTACTACGTCGATTGCGAAACGCGCCCTAAGAGAGACGTAAGGGTGGGCGATTGATCCAATGGTGGGGGAATAGAAATCTACAGTATCAACTGCCATAAATTATATATTCCTATATGTGAATTTCCTACAATTTAATGAACGTGAAAAACTACAAAGAAATCAATTTTGTAAGTTTTATGTTTAACAATTATATTTGTTTCTTATAATAATTTGTTCCAATATTGCCTCATTAAGTTTTTTATCATTGAGTTTAAGGTTAAACTCCTCTTATTAGTACATAGTTTTTTTTTCAAATCGAGGGAAATGTCTTAACACAACTAATTATAAATTAATCATGAACATCCATTGACTGAAGAAATTATCATGATATTCGTAGTAATTATAGATCAGTTGAAGTAAGAGAATTTCCTACTTGAGCAGGAAATCCCGCTGCTTTGAAAATTAATTGATTTTAAAATTGGAAAACAATTTCCTGCTATTTACGGTTTGAATAAATTGCGATAGTTAGTTCCATGAAATCGAAAACTGTGACGAGGAAACTTTGATATTCTTGGTAATTTTGCCTGTATTTAGACATTGAAGGAGTTCTGATGATTTTATTTCCATACATCTATTTGTTCGTTTAATATCGAATTATTCTGTTATTAGGATACACATCAGAATGTCTCGCAGTTGGATAAAAAAATCTCTTAATTCGAATCGCATTATCGATGAAAATGCGAATTAAGGACTTCAATTAAACGGAAAAAAAACAAAAGAATATTCTATGGAATTTACAATGCAATGGAAGTAAGTATAATCCACACATGTGTTTCATATGTGCACGTATGAAAAAATGCTATAGGATTTCTTATAGGATTTCCTATAAGATTCCCTATAGAATTTCCTATCAGATTTATGACCCTAATCCTGACCCTTGTGACCGATTGGTTTCGAGTCTCAATTTTGTGTTACTTTCTATAGAAAACTCTATAGGGAATTCTACAGGAAATCCCACCAGAAAAATCCTATAGGAAATCCTACAGGAAATCCCACCAGAAAAATCCTATAGGAAATACTCTGATTCTCCATAGAATTTTTTCATACGTGCAAACCAGATAGATATTTTCTCCTCGAAGTATTTGAGGAAATGCAAGTGGGACAGTCTCGAAAATTCACTGGATCTGAGAATTAAAATATAAATAGAAGCATGGGCTGTTTATATTTAATACACACACGACCGCAAGTTACTTGCAGGAGGTGGAATCAGACTAGTTGAATGTGATCGTTGGGAAAATATCTCATCTAGTAGATATTTTTTATTTCAGTTCGCAACAAATTGTTCGCTTTCATACAAAACTTGATTAATTAATTCAGAAAAAGGTCTTGTAACATTTTGCTCCATGGCCACTATAGTTTCCGCGATATTTTCAAAATGATGAGACTAAAATTTTTGGTAAAGAGATGAGTTACATATTAACATTTTTATAACAATCTTGTATAGCCCGGACTCTAGAGGGATTTATCAAATGATTTTTTGGTTTTATCTACAATACTGATTTCCTATTTCCCATCGAATTATCCCAGGAAAATGGAGAAACTTGAACATGGAAAATTTTACGAAATAGCCTCAAAACTCTGTCCACTGTTGGCTTTAGTATTCAGCCTCCTGGTGACAATAATGACGCTATACCTCAACGAGAGTCTCTCCCTCCTCTTCATATTCATCTCGATCCAAGTCTACCTCAACTGGTACTCGATCTGCACAATAAGCAATAACGCCACAACAATGCGAGATAATTACACAAAAAATGGGAGAATCTCGAGCGTAGCTATTAGGATAACTGGAGAGGAAGACTCAGCACCTAAGTTGAAATACCGGTACTGCGAGAAGTGCACCTATTATACTTACCGACCAGCCCAACACTGCAGAGCATGCAAAAAGTGTTTTCATTTTCGAGATCATCACTGTTTCTTCATTGGTGGTTGTATTATTCAATTGAACATGGGAAACTTTATTCTGATATGCTTCCATACATCGTTAGCCTGCTTTTACTCCTCCACGGTCGTCGGTCCTTGCATTTATGAGAGCCTGAGTGAAGTTATCGGAGAAAACTCTACGGCTTTCAACGTTTTTCTGAACTTCTGTTTTCCTGTCGCTCTTGCTAGCTTCTTAATCACTGGCCAGGGAACGTGCTTGTTATTCGCTATCCTCTTTGATGCCTTAATTTCGATTTCCATCGCATGTTTCTTGTACGGAAGTTGGAAGTTGTTCTGTTGCTTGAGTGGGAAATAGAGGTATTACCCTCACATCACTAGGAAACAGGAATTGAGAGAGATTTTTGGAAGCTATGGTGGTTGGAACCTCATTTTAAATTGACTATAATGGGCTTCTGGGACCACAACATTAAGATGAAAAGTAAGGAGATTTGGGAATTTTAATGGGAGTCTAAAAAATGAATCAATTTAGCACAATTCATGAAAAGAACATTTAAAAAAATTAATCAAATTTAATTGTCCATCTCCAGGATTCCACTACTGAACGAATAGAATTATTCATAGAGTTGAGTCTGATGTATTTATTTGATGTGTTGTATATCATTTATGTTCAATACAAACTGTGATGAGTTTTCGTTCATTCTTGTCAATCCTTAAAAAAAACAAAAACAAATGTTTTTGCAAAAAAACTGCGCCAAGAAAAAGTTTTGTGGGGTCGTTTCTGGAAAGGAGAAACAATTTTTTCTGGAAACCACAATTCTCATAGAAATTTTGCGAAAAATAACGAACTAAAAATCAAAGCCAAGTCAAGAAATGTCCAATGGATCATGGAGTGTGCTATCAGATTATTGTGGGGAGGATAATTCTGAATAGGATTTTCAAAAAAATCTTCATGAAATAAAAAATTCAGTATAGACAGGATCAAAGTTATTGGCAAGGATCAGAAGTTACAAGTTACATTGATACGAGACAATGAGTGGGAAAACTCCGCGCCAAGAACTTTGAATACTGTCTCTATTGAATTTTTTATTTCATGAAGATTTTTTCATGGCTCTATTCTGCATGATGTCAGAGATTATAGGGGAGATGAGCAGGGCCAATGTAGTGTTCAACAGCAAAATTAGTAGCGGTGGCGCATGGACTACGATGGAGCGTACGGAATTGTTGGTATGGTAGGGCTCGAGGATAAATTTGTCGATAACCGGAAAGGGGTTCTCAATACGGTAGCTCCTCGCATTTTGTAATAATTGTCAGGAATGTAAAATCGAACATATAATCAATAGTATAATGAATGCAGAATCTAATGATCTAAAAGTCTTTTCCTTTTTCTCGACATATTTATTATTGATACGTAGGTAAAACAATTCATAGAAAATCCCAGCGCTGTTGCTGGAAAACTCTATAGTTTTCCAGTGATTCTATTGAATGATTGTGCCGATTTTGTTTTTTTTTTACTATAGTAATGTTCGATTATATATATTTATTCCCCCCCCCCCCTGAGTGAGAAAGGAATATGTATCGCGCTCGCTCCCACTCATTGTCCTCTCCGTCGCGTTGGCACGAGCCCGTCCTCCGCCAAACTTAACGAGTGCGAGTGAGAAAGAAAATGGAGAAGAAGAGAGAAAACATTCCAACTCGTTTGAACGGTTGGAAGGTTTTCGTTGTTCTCCAGCGATATACACATCATGGGATTAATTCACAAATAGTAGATAAATGAATAAGATTTTTCGCAGATTATTGCGAGATTTAGATGGATGGTTTACCTCCTTCAGTGACCATAAAAAATTGTCTCCAATCGACAATATCTCCCGATGGAATGGAACGATGTGAATGAATCAATTGATACTTAAGTATCAATTTGAATCTTTAAAAAATTAATCGAGAGTGAAAAAAAATCAGGGAATTTAACTCTGCCATTATGGAGTTATTGACGAGTGAAGTTTATTCACTGTACTCTGACATTTCTCTATTGTCTGTATTTACCGAGAAAAAAAAACGTTGTTCCTAGGAATCGATGTGTCTTTTTTAGGCAGCTGCATTTCTGAAATGCAATGAGCAAGCAATGTTAAAATTAAGTCATTTTATAAAAAATTTCCAGTGACATGATCCTGAAAATCAAAGGAAAGTCTTGAATTCAGGAATGATGTCTGTAGGTTTCAGTAATATTTTCGCGGAAATTCCGGGAACACTTATTGGGAATTTTTATCGCGTTGCCGTAATACGGAAATTTCAAGGAATTTCGTCATTGCAAATTAAAAATTTCTATAAATTTCAGTCCAATTATATGTGTACGTCCACGTGAAAAGGGCCCATTTTATCGCATGTAATTTCCGAGATATTCACATTTTTCTCTCCACTCCATTTATCCCATTGTTAAATTGATTTTTTGATCTTTTATACGGACGTCACACGGAGAAAAATAAATCGGTAAAAGTCTTGCGATCGCAAGGAGTTTCCCGAAGATCCC